AAAGACATGAAGAGATGGGGGGGGGGGGGAGTGCATGTAACATACCATAATATGCACGCAGCACAACCGCAGCGGCACACATCTATCACCAGACACAGTCAAGGGCAGCTGCCTTGGCCTCGTGCTTCTACACCACTAGCGGCCTCCCCACATGTTTTTTTCCCCTCTAGAGTCCATGACGCTTGATAGGGAGCGACATCGTTCCAAATATTCTAAAAAGTTTTCGTGACCGCTGCCCACCTTCACGGCAAGGCGTCCACTGACGATGGAGAGGTGCACAACGCGTGCGGTAGCGTCCTTACCTTTTCTATTGGTGGCGACAGTGCCATAGAGCTCACAGCGGTACACACACGGCGCCTGGCGCGTCATTTTCAGACTAATTCCCCTTCTACGTGCATCCCGCACGACCTCGTGCACCATGGCCTGAATAACCTCGCCCAGCTGTTCCTTTGTAGGCGGCGGTGCCATCGCGCGGCGAAGACGTGTGATCATTCCCAAGCTGTACGCCTTCTCACAGTCGTGTGCGGTAGTGGCACGCCAGAGCTCCCTTGCAACAGGGGACTTCGAAAAAGGCTGTGGCATTCCCACAACCACTGCTTCCTTCTCGTTGGCCGTAGTTGAGGGCTTCTGCGAAACCTCTGGTGATGGCGGTGGTGAGGCCAGCGAAGCAGGTGGTCGTCTTTCAACGGGCCGCTGCGAGCCAACAAAGGTCCGCTCCCTCGAACTCTCGCTGGAGGCGAGTAAATGTTGGCGCTGCAGCGAGGCGGCCTGCCGCTTCTTGTGTCTTGTGTCGCTGTAGCTTCCACCAACAACACCGTTCGTAGAAGAGGGTGTAAGTGGCGTCCGCGACGCCGACGGCCTCGATGAAGCCCTGCCGTTATGCTCCAGTGAGGGAGAGGTGCTACATCTAAACGGTGTGTGACATTTACCCTTTCCTCCCTGGTGTTTAGCCGGTAGCTCGGACGCCTGTGTCCCATCCACCTGCCTCTGCAGTGACAGCAGCCGCCGTTTGAGCTCCTGGTTCTCTAGCTGGAGCTGCTGCGCAGCCGACTTCACTGCGGCGGACTTGCGCAACGCATTCAGCTCCTGCTGCAGGGCGGCGCTGCGTGCCCGCTCTTCCTTAATGATCTGCGCGGCCCTGTGCAGGAGTTCAACCGGGTACTGCTCCGGCGCGGTCTCAGTGCCTACACCGCTGGAACGACTGGGACATAGCGGCGGGACCCCCAAGTTATCCTGCTGCTTGTGGAGGTCATCTCCGTGACTGGCGTCAAGTTCCGCTGCCGCCGCCCACTGCGGCGAGACCACGGCTAGCTGTTGGAGGCCTCCCCCTTTTTTTGCCTCACTGGTAGAAGAGGGTGCCGGAATTTCCATTTCGGCCTGTGCCATGCTTTGACGACGGCCTACTTCACGTCACTCCCCTTCTTCTGTGTGTGTCTGTGGAGTAACTGCTCACACCCTTGTAACGTGAACCATGCAGATGCCGAAGGAGGCGGCGAGGGGAACTGGGGTGCAGCAACAGCAACAGCAACAGCGGTGCAGGGGACAAAACAAAACGGAAAACAATCAAACAAAAGTAAAACAAACAGACACCGTCAAAAAAATCACACTGACCGACCCCTCCCAGGGGGAAATCCCCCGTTTTGCAGCGGTCCCTTTGTGTTTATCGTCGCACGCGTCACCTTCTTGTTGTACTCCTTTCTTCCGGCGCCGGCCTTCGCCTCCTCGCGCCGTATATGCGCCTGAATGCGCCAGCGATCCTCGGTAGACACAAGCAGCCGCCCAATGACAATTGGGGGGCACCCCGCCGCCGTCGCGGCGGAGCTTTTTGCGCCGGTGTTGTCCTTCTCAGAGGCCGTTAAGAGACGCCAGGTTGTATCCGCGATGCGGCTATACGCCGATGTCTCGCTCGCGGGAATGTTCGGGTACTCATTGAAGTACTTCACGAACGATGTGTAGTCCGGCATTGCAGCTGCAAGACACCAACCTTTTCCCACAGCTGCCCACCCTCTCTTTCCCTCTGTGTGTGTGTGTGTGTGTGTGTGTGTGTTTGCGTTCCTCCCCTCCCCTTCCCTTCCCTTCGCTGCCTATCCGGCTTTTTCTGCGCCAGTGACACGGCACACACGCGCACCCGCAGGCAAAACAACAACAAAAGATGGGAACGCGGTGTTGCAGGGGGTTCATAAAAAAAACACGGGCATCGCTAGTATCGAGAGGGAAGGATGACATGCGACAAGCAGGCGAAAGGGAGAGGGAGAGGCATCACATGGAAGGAAAGGGTGACACATTACTTGCACTCAGCGAGGGTTTTAGATTTAGTTACCTTCCCCCGGAAAGTAGCTCCGCACGCGACTTTCCATCTCCTCCGGCGTCGCATCGTCCTGAGCCTCCACGATACACGCGGCCACTGCAATCGTACGCCGCGCCGCCACCGCCGCGTCGACGTCGCTGGCCTGCCCCCGCACCCACACAAGGCCATTCACGCCCACGCACACCTCAAACGGCACCCGCTCACCCAGCAGCGAAAGCAGCTGTACGGCGCCGTCGCCCGTCAGCAAGCTTCGAGCGTACGGAATCGGGACGCGCACCACAGTGCCACCCGCAAGTGGCCCGAACACTGCCTCTGCGGACGTCCAGTCCTTCGCGGCAAGGCCAACTTCACCCGCCATGCAGCTCAGCTCCACCTCGTCCGACGCGTCTTCCACAGCTTCGGCACCGCCCAGCCTCGGCCTCACAAAGGCATAGACAATGTCGCCCTCCTGCAGGCGAGGCCGACTCGACTTAGTGGCCCCGTCAAAGCTCAGCGCATCGAGCACCGCCGGCATCGCCGCGCCAGTGTAGCAGTAGTAGTAACTAGTCGTCTTCTTCACGACTACCGCCACAACGGGATCCCGCGGAGCGTACACGTAGCGGCGAGCAGCGGGGGCGTCGAGCGTATAACGCCGCACACGGTTCGGCCCCACACTGCACGCCACCGGTCCGCAGAGCTCCGCAACCACCACCGTGTTTCCTCCTTCTCCAGCGGCGCCGACGCCACTTCTATTGTGCGCTGGGGCCTGCGACACGGGACGAAGACCGTTTCCAAGCGCCACCACCGCCGTGGGATCCAGCAACAGTACAGGGTCACCCGGCAGGCAAACGTGCGAGCGCAGCGGCGCAAGCTCTTGCACACCCCCTACCACGACTGCTGTCGTCGACGTCTGCTGCATGCGTCTCTGTCGAACGTGCTCCTTTCCTTGCCGCAGAAAACAAAAAAAACAAAGGAAACATATACACAACAAACAAACAGAAGCGCGTATTACCGTCAAGCGAAGGCAGTAAAAATGGTGTGCGTAAAGGGAACGCCGTAAAAAATGCATGAAACCCACGTGCATCGGCAAAAAAAAAAGGCACAGAAAGATATATATCGCAAACAAACACCACCACCACCACCACCAAGAAGAGCGCACAAATGTCTGGACAAACAGGCGAGGATGTGCACGTGTGTGATACAGGCCTATCTGCCAATCTCCCGGCGAAGGTCACGCAATTCCGCCTTTAGAGCGGCCATCCGCTCCCTCCACGCCGTCACTAGGGACGAGACCTCATCCGGGACCCGGGCGTTCGGTGTCTGACACAGCGACCCGGGCGAGGATGCGGCAGCGACGTCTCCTCTAACATGGCCGTAATAATAATAATAATAATTATGCTGCTGCGGCTGCCTATTTGACATTCGCGGTGTGTTGACGACACCGCAGGGAGTCTTTGCCCCTTGAGGTCGCAGCTCCCGCAGTTTGAGAGCCACGGGGTTCACCGCAGGGGGCGGCAGAATGCGTTGATAGAGCGGCCGAAGCCCGTTGTGGTGCAACATGGACTCCTCCGCGGCCAGCTGTTCGCGCAGCGCCGCCGCCTCCTCTTGAAGCTCCTGCTGTGTCCGCCGCGCCACCTCCGCGAACTCCACCAATTTCTCAAAAATCTGGCGTAAACTCTCGCTCGGCTCCTCGTAGGACATCGACTCCTCCCCCGCCTCTGCATCCCCGTCACGAAGCCGCGCGAGCGTGGCCGCAAGCAAGCGAAGCTGCTGACGCACCGCCTGCAGCCGCCGTTCCTCCACCGCGTACTCCTCCTTTGCCTGCAGCAGCTCCTGCCGCGCCTCAGACATGTGGCGTTCGTGCTCCTCCCTCTGTCGCGCCACCTCAACCCGCCTCTCTCGCCGCAGCGCCTCCAGTACTTGCTGCTCCTGCACCACCTCGCTCCGCACCGCGTCGGCATCGAGGCGGGCGGCACTCACTGCCTCCGCCGACCGCCGCGCTTCTTTCTGGAGCGCCGCAACCTCCTGTTCGAGTTCCAGCTTCTGCTGCGCCAGCTGGCGCATCTCTGTGTCGGCCAGCTCCCTCTTGGCGGCCCGCGTTTTCTCAACCTCCGGCTCTGCCTCCGCCTCCGCCGTGGCGGTGGAGAGTGCGGAACTCACAATGGCAGCGTGAGAGTGGAGCAACACTGTGAGCCCTTCGACGTACGCCGCCTGCACCGCCGTCCGCTGGGCAGGCTCCTCCACCCGCGCCAGCGCGTGCCGCGCGCCGTCCAACAGCAGCTGATTGGTCACATGCAGCCACCCCGCGAGCTCCGCCTCCGCGGCTCGCATACTCTCGACAGCATCCGGCATGAATAACGCGCTGGCTGGACCTTGTGGCTGAAGTGTGGCGGACGTAAACGAACAAGGCACACACAAACAAACAATTAACTACATAAAAAGGTGAACCAAATACAGTAGGACAACACCAGCAGCGAAGACACAGTGGTAGATGAGCGCACACACACACACACACAACCATACACGCAGGCAAAACAAGGCGCAGGGTAGACACACAGGGCGCTGTGCTGTGTGGCGGCGCGTGTGACCCTTCCAGCTATCGTTTCTGGGGGGTTTTCACGCGCCAGAAAAACAAAAACAAAAACAAAAACAAAAACAAAAAGTACAAGCCGCTGCTGCGGTAACAGTGCGTAACGCATGCACAGCCATATTATTGATAATAATAATAATAACCCAGTCCCAAAGCCCAACAAAAATGTGTTCACCTTGTGACACAAGAGAAAGAAAGAAAGAAAGGGAAACAAGGCAACATTAATGTATGCACATGTATGCATATATATATATATATATATGCAAATGTTTATAGAACACGGTGGGCCTTACATGACTGTTGCCCTTGTCCCACTCCCTCAGCGGAGACGAGAGCGGCTCCGACGGTGCGTCACTTTTGCTGCAACCTTCGCTGCAGCTACAGGAGTGTGCGCCTCGTTCGTGTTGGCCTCCTCTACGGCGAACAACAGCGAATTATCCTTCGGCCGGCGCTGCCGCACATCATTCTTGTCGAGTCGCTGCAGCGTAGCATCCAACACCTCAACCAGCACCTGCCGGATGTCCTCCATAAAAAAGAGGCGGGCGTCAGTCATAGCGTAGTGTATCTCGTTCCGAAGAAGCACCCGCAACGTGTACTCTGGAGACCGGTAGGCACAGGCAAAAAAGACAAGGATTGCCCCTGAGAGGAAAACAACAGTGGCAAAGAACGCGTTGTTGCCCACCACACTACGTGGGACTGGAAGGACAAACGCGCGCAGCGCATACGCCAAGGTTACGACACCCATGCACGGCCGTCGTGCGGCGGCAGTGCGTGAGGGGACGGTAAGCAGCAGGAGCACCATAAGGAGGACGGCGGCACGCATCATCTCATTCAGCCCTATTGTTTTTTCTAGGAGCCGCCGCTGGAAGATTTCGATTCGCTCCAGTACATTTAGCATCCCGCTGGCGTGGAGCTCGATACGCTTCTGAAACTCCGTCGCCTCCCGCGCCACGTCCCGCACAGCAGCAGCAGCCTGCGCAGTGCTCTCGTCAAGCGTCGTGTGCAGTTCGTTCAGATGCAGACTCGCATCCGCCAAAGAACGCACGATGCGCTCTGTGCTGCCCCGCAACGACTCAAACGCCACGCTTTGGCCACTGCGAAGCTCCCGCAGCTGGTCGTTCAGGTTCCGCGTTTCATCCAAGTTGATGGACTGTTGCTCCGCCGCCCTTTGCACGGACAAGTGAAGTTCACTGCTGGAGCTCTGCAAGGCCTCTAGCGTCTCTGAGGCCGCCGCTGCGCCGGCGTAGAGAGCCTGCACCGCCATCTCCGTGCGTTCCTGAAACGCCTCCTCCTGGATGTACAGGCACAGCACATCGGTGTGAAGTCGGTACTGCACGTACACGAGGTACTGCGCGTCGTCAAGGTGGTCGACGCACCTCCGCACTCTTGTTTCAGAGACGCAGTGGGGCCAAGCACGGCGCCCGCCGTCCGCTGCAGCATCGCACGCGGCCATCGCCAATGCCAAGCGACTGCGTGCCCCGTCATCCGAGCGAAGTGAACTGCAGTCCTCCTTTAGCGCCTCCACGGCCCGCTTCCAACAGGAGCTTATGCGACCCTTTTCCTCCCATTCATGCAACAAATGCGCCGCCTGCTGCTCGTGACGAGTGTCTTTTTTCTTCCGCAGAGAGAAACGATGTGGCAGCTGCACGCGATGTTCAGAATGCTCCAGCGCCGGTGTGACAGCCGCGTTATTTTCTTTTTCCGGGGCAGCGGTAGACGGTGACGTGAGCCACAGCGACCATGCCGCCCGACAGACTGGTAAGAACAGCAGCAAGACGCAGAAGACGACGCGAACAGATGCAAGGCCCATTGAGACCAAAAAAGACTACGCCGTGTACACGTGTTGTTTCCCCCACCCAAAAAACTAAAAAAAAGTACTGTACGCCGTTAAACCTTTTTACAAAGCTTGATGGCAGTGGAGGACGCAGTTACAAAAAGAAAGAATGAAAAAACATATAGAAGGAAGAAATATTTGAGATGGCAAGAATGAGGAAACAGACACTTTAGACGCCTTGCTGGCCCTGGCGCCCCCACCCACTCCCTCACAGCACCGCAGTACACCGCACAGATACTGCCTCAGTGAAACAATGAAACAGGCACCTCCCTTGGGAAACCGTCGCGCGGTGGGGAGCGTTGCAGCCGCGACGGTGCACTCTTTCCGACCATCAGGATGCGCTCTGTGAGGAAATACGCCGCCTCCGTGTAGGGTCCCGCCCCCTGCTGTGGGCGGCACGACAACGACACCCCATTGGCCGCTGCTCTCGCATCGTTGCACGTGTCACGCGTTCCGCCGCCGCCGAGCCCAGTCACCAAGGTCTTCCATCCCCGTGCCGCCTCGCGCATGCGCTGGTCACGGCTGCAGAGGGTCACCGCATCCGGCAGCTGCTGCGGAAAGAACTCACCGCCGTAGCGTGCGGCCAGCGCCCTCTTCGTGTCGTCCATCACGATACACCAGGTGAGCGGGCGCACGGTAGTAAAGCGGCTCGGCAGAATAAACTCGCTACTGGACGGCTGCATGGTGGACATTCCAGCACGACAACCACTACTCCACTTTCTTCTGATTGGAAGGAAAGAGAGAATCAACGACTATGAGGCACGGAGGGGGAAAGAAGCAAAAAAGAAAAAAAAGTTCCCCTTTTCCCTTTCTCTCTCTCTCTCTCACTCACTCACTCCTTCGATATATAAAATGGACTGCGACTCGCGAAATAAACAAATAATTCACTGATAAAACAAGGGGGCGGCACCAACCTCATATTAATCCGAGACAACCTCCCCGCAAGGTCCCCCCCCCCCCTCCAGCACAAGCCTCCTCAACAGCACGGCGTGCTGCGGCTCCATCTTTTGCAGGCAGTCCCCCTCCTGCAACAGTGCCCAGACAGTGAGGGCATCGTCCCCCTGGCTGCACGCGTCCCGGGCGTAGTCATGGAAGCGCACCTCGTCTATTAACGCCTTCATTTGGTCAATCAACAACAGGGAGACACGAAAGGGAAGAGTCCCATTCGCTCTCTTCGCATGACTAAGCACAACACGAGTGGTGGCCTGTAGGGAGGCGTCATGCATCTCCGCTAGGCGGCATTCTTCAGCAGCCATTGCCGCGCCGTCGCCGGACGGCTTTGACAACAACGCCAGCTGTATCGCATGATGCCACAATGCCGGAGTACAGTTAGGCTCAACGGCCTGTGTGCACTGAATTGCCAGTTCCCAGAATGAGGACTCCCACGGCTGCTTCTCCTTCTGCTGTGAAATGCGAACGCTCTCAGCAGCGTCGGCCGCGCAGGCGGAGAAGAGAGCAGCCAGCATGCGTGGTGGCAGCGTGGTTGCCGTGGAACGCCGGTAGTGGTGAATGATGCGCAGCGCAAGCGCCCACCGCGGCAGTCGCTCTGCCATGAGGGCTCCCGCGGAGTACCTCTGCCAGAGTATGACATCTGGGTGATGGTGGTAGTAAAACCTCCCACCGCGGGCGTCCAGATCGAGTTGCATATGCAGACGTTTTAGTGATTTAAAGGCCAAATTGAAGACGGCTCGAATGGCCCTCGCTGAGCGCGGTTGACGCAGCAGCTCCTCGCTATGCGGTATCGCCTCCGCCGAAAAGTGGGCCGCCTCAATACCGAAGCAGAGTTCACGGAGCCCCTGTTCGTCGCCCAGCAGCTGCTCAACAAGAGGTACGTACACCGCCAGCTGGCAGAGTTCCGGACCACTAAAAAACAGTTCCGGCCAAATGGCGCGACCGTACGTGGCCCAATAGGACGCAATCTCAGCCCGCGAGGCATCTGGTCGTGTGCGAAGAAACGCTGGAGGCCTTCCGCCACTTCTTCGTACTGCCCGCAGCAGCTCGTACTCGCACAGCCATGGCCACCGCCGAGCTGCCAGCTGTGCCACATACGGATAACATGCCTCCCACACTGCAGCCACCGTGCGCGGGGACGCAAACCCGTGAAACACGTCTGACGTTAGTCGTTCTATGAAAGCCGCTGCCCCCTGCCCTACCACCGGAAGCAACGGTCGTTGCCACACACGCTCGTGCGATAAGAGAAGGATGTGCAGAAACCTATTTTCCCTGCAGTATTCAACCAGCTGTGTATCCAACACCGCCACGCCGCTATCCGTCTCTCGCACCCGCTCCAGCACCTCCGTGCGGTAGTGCTGCAGCAGAAGTTTCAGCTCAAAAGGCCTGAAACGCCCCGAGAAGGCCCGAGCAAGTGCCTCCAGCCCCCGTGAGGTGGAAAGCACAATGCGGGGGGCAAGCTGCGAGAAGTGGTGAAGCTCATCCCCGGTTAGGGGTGGACGCTCGACAGGGATCCAGCACGTCGGGTGAGAGCAACCACGCGCGCCTCCACGCTGCCGTTGCTCGCTCCTGGCACCGACCTCCGCCTCTTCCCAGGAGCGGCCTGCCGTGGTGATGGCAACAATAAGGTCAATGACTTGCCGCTCGCTGAGGGAGTGGCTAAGACGCCTAAGATTGCTAGCGCAGGCGTCGCGCTCCACGACAGCCAACCTTGAGCCCAGACAGGAACTCAAGAGCACCTCGTACTGCGTCGGTGTCGGCACCGCACCCATCTCCTGCACAATAAACAGCATCACTTTGCTGCACATGACGGCACCGCTGTGACTCCGCACGGAGCGCAACACATCTGTGAGACCCTTTTCCATGAGGGCACTCACGGGTGAGAATTCCTGCTGCACCGTCGTCAAGAGTCTCAATGCGACTTCCCAGGAACCAAAAGTTGCCACCGTTGAAAGCAGAGCATTAGCGACGCCGCTGCTTAAGCGCCCAGCTGCCCCGCGTGAACATCTTCCTTTTGCTCCCATGACGCTGTTAAACACCACCAAGGCGGCTTTCCATGCCTGAAGGTGCGTCAGCGCCACCAACACCTCCTCCACCTGACGCCCAGGCACGAGGGAGTGCAGACCAGCCCCGGTGTTTGTGTCATCCGTTGCTGTTGCCTCCAAAATGACACGATGTGCGGCCCGTACACGGCTCTCGTTTTCCTCCTTCAAAAGAACAGCTGCCTGGAAGAGTGCCATCTCGTCGGTCTTCTCGCATGCCTGCATCGCAGCAAGGGCGCGGCCCCAATGCCCCATACGTAGGAAACTCTGTGCACACCGCCTAAAAAAGGCATCCCGCTCCTTCTGTGACGGTCGCCACGACTCACCCTTCCCTTCAGCGTCCCCTTCCACCTGTTCCGCTGTGCCCAACGTGGCACGCTGCCGTAGAGCCTCGTAGAGGAGATGCGCAGCAGAACTCTCCGTGTGGCGCTCAATCCCGCCCGCCACAACGCGCAAAACGACCCAGGGTGCAGGAAGTTCCTGCTGCATCATGTGCTGCAAAAGTTTTATCGCCATGCGAACGGCACACGCGCGAAGGGCATCGCTGTCACTTTCCCAGTACACCAGCAAAGGCCGGTTGAATAAATTGACATCCTCAATTGATTTCACGCACGGCGTAAGAATTTCCACGACGGCCTCCACGTCAGCTGTCTGTGACGGCGTTGCCGCTTCTAGAAGGATGGACGCAAGCATCTTTTTCACGTGAGGCACCTCCTCTAACCCGCGCACGACGGCGTTCGCAGCCTTTGTGTCCCGCAATAACGAGAGGCCACGAAGAATCCAGAATGCACCCAAATGATTTCCGCTCAAGCTTAGCGCCAGAACCGCGTAGCAGTCAAGCACCACCCGGTGTGCCGCATACGTTTCCCTGTACTGCTGCAGAACACGTCCGTAAGAAAGTGGGGAGAGACGAATGTGGTAAAAGAGCTGGAAGCAGCGAAGAAGAATGGGGTCCGCGGCAGTGGGCGTGTGCAAGGAAAGCACCAAGCAGCATGCGTCGTAGCGTTGGTGCTCAAGCAGTAGTTTAGCTGTGCACTTCACAACATTAGGCCGGATCCGGAATTGATCAAACCCGTCCGGCGCTCCCGCGCTCTCGCCGCTGGCGCGTGGCGTCCGAGCATGGTGGGGAATCCGGCAAACCACAGCCCACGCCTGCAGCGCCTTCTCCCAATCATCGCGCTCAACCGCCTCACAAATCGTCGCTTCCACGTGACGCAGAATGCAGTACCGTTGCAGCCGCGTTTCCGCTGCGGTGGGTGTAGGAACGTGCCGAAACAGCATATGCAGCGCGCGGCGCCACTGGCCCAAAGCTGCACAGAGCGGAATGGCCAGGCTGCGCAGCCTCAGTGTGTCTCGAGGCAACTGGCTTTGGGCGTAGCGTAGGGCAGGCATCCACAACCCCATTGAAATAAATAGGTGCTCCAACGGGGGTCCAGCTCTCTCTTGGGCGCTTGGATGCATCCCACCGTACACGGCGACGGCGGCCTGCCAGTTGCCACGCTCCGCAAGTTCTGTGAACACCACAGTGGGCCGCCCGGTGAGAGCCAGCGCGTCTTCCCAGCACCCACGCGTACAATTGAGCCGCACTACAGAGTGAAGGCAGGCCGGGTCCAGCACCCCAACTTCGTGCGTGCGTGCTACATTAACAAAGTCAATCACAATGTTTTTTGCGCGTGTCACCTCCTTCACCTTCGTTTGTGTGTCGATGTCGTGCTCCTCCCCGCTGCGTAGGTGCACTAAAAACAAACTCGCTGTGTGAAGAACGGTGACCATAGGGGCGGAGGTGAGGGACGCAGAAACAGTCTGCCACAGAGCCTCCCAGTAGAAGGAACTCTGTGGCACAGTGTTGAGCCTAGCCATGGGAGACAGCAGAGCGCGTGGTCTGGGTGTAAGCTCCAGCAGCGCCGGAAATAAGCGAACGAGCTCCAACGCCCTCTCCCACTGTCGTTCCTTCAGCGTCACGAGAGCCTCCGTAACCTCCCCCAGCGTGAGGTCGTCTGGCATTTGGCGACAGTCGGCGACATGCAACAACGCTTGGCGTCGTTCTTCCCTGGCCTTTATTTCAGGCAACTCCGACTCCGCATGACGCCGCACCTCCTCGCGGAGCTCCCACGCGCGTTGCCTGACCTCCGGCTCATCTCGACAAGTGAGCACCGATGCCACCGCCAGCGCCCGCCACCACGGCGACGTGACAGTAAAGCAGCGAATAAAACTTTCCGTCGTGGCCTTACTCGGCACGCCACCCGAGGCTAGCAGGAGAGACATGATTTTTGACCCTGCCACCCATTGGCGACCAGCCGCTGCCGCTAACATCGTTGGCCAGGCCAGCGTCGGTGCATGCTGAATCAGACGCTCCTGTGAGCCCACAAGAAGGGCGCCACGCCAATCACCGGCGTCCAGCAACAGACGGCTGCATTGTAGGTGGTGGTGGGGCGCCAAGACTGGAACGCGACGGCGTCGGGCCGCGAGAATAAGCGCGAGAAGTGTTTCCGCCGCACCGTCGCTGCGGCGTGCAAGTATTGCATCCGCCGCCGTGTGGTACACGGCGCGAGCGGAGAGGGGACTTGTCTGCAATTGATCTAACACCTGTACAGTTACCTTCCATGTGCTGCGCGTTGATACGGCTGTCACTACCTCTGCGTACGTCCGTGCCGTTGGGGTGCACGACAGCTTCACTGCCCCTGCGAGAAGCATCGCGGCACGGGCCCAGTTGCCGCCCTTCAGCGTTGCCACAACGACCTCCTCTACCTCCCGCGCGGAGGGCAACATGAGGTCGGGTGAATGCTTTCTGTACCCCCACGCCCTCTCCTGCTGCGTCCAAAAAAAAAAAAAGCAAAATAAATAAATAATGATAATATAAAGCGAAACCATTGACAGAGCAACGCAGTGCCTAAGCAGCTGATTGTTAATGCAGAGCGAACGTCACCGTAATACCCCTCCTCCCACGCAGTGCGCATCACGACGCCGAGCCCAACCACCGGCTCAAAGTGATATCTCATCTACGTCTACGTCTTCCTCTTCCTCCTCTGCCTTCGCCGACTCATCAGAGACGACGTCGGCGCGCAGTGCCTCTGCTAGTGCCCGACGCTGCACGGCAGCTCCCTCCTGCAGCAGTTCCCGTATCTCCTGACGCACAGCGTACAACTCCGCGACATGTGTCTCCATCTGCTTCACGGACTCCTCAAAAAGAGCGCGCTCCTTCTTGAGAGCGCTCAGCACAGGCTCCAGTGATTCACGGCGGTACAACATCAGATTGGCCACAAACGCCTCGAACTCCGTCTCTGTTGGCGACCAAAGCGATGACCGGGGAGAATGCGTGGCAGCCGTCTTGTGTCGCTGCTGCTGTGTAGGCGGTGCCGCCGCTTCTACCGCTTCCGCCGCACTTCCCACGACAACATTTGCTGCGCCCGAAGGCTCTTTGCGCACCTTTCGTGAGGAACCAACTTTCCCGCTGCTCTTGCCGCGTCCCCGATGCTCGCTATTATTCCCAGCCGTGGCCTGCCTCGCCACCGCGGCGTGGCGCATCCACGTACCACAGCCGATGGTAATGCGGGCCCACTGCGGGCACAGACGGCGAAGCAGAGCGTTTGCCACTATCATCGCCTTGTTCCTCTCACGCTGGGGCAAAGAAACAACCGGGTCCACCTCCCCTTCGGTGACCACTGAAAAGGGCATACACATAAACAACAAAAAAAAATAGGGGAAAAAAGGAAAATATGAATACACACACACACACACGTAAAACAATACAAATAAACAAAACAGAGCGCTCACGAGCGTAATGTTTGGCGCCTCTTCCCCCGCAACATGCGTGTGTAGGTGTGTGGGTAGACGGCACGCAACCGTGTCCGCATTACTGGTTGTATGTTTAAGCGAACAAGAGGCAGGATGAGTTTGCAGTAACGCCTTACGGCTTTGTGGTGTACACAAAGAGGCGGTACATATCGCTATCGCCAAGCAGGGTGTAACGCACCTGATCACCCCATGCGAACGCGTCCCTCCTCGTGTAGTGCAGTCGCATGTAGGGCACAACCCACGTTACCTGCATGAAAGTACCGTACCCTTTGGCGTGCTGCAATAGCCCATCGACGCCGCGCAGCATGGCCCCGATGTCATCCTCCATCGTTGGACTGTCCTTGTCGCTCTCAAGCGCATCCATCGTGCCCTTGTCAATAATAGCGTCAAAGGGGCCCAACAAACGAAACTCCTCAAGACGGCGCACATCGCCCACTCTCCACGTCGTGTTTGGCAGCACCCCAGGCGGGTACTTTGCCTGCATGTTCGCGATGACGTTGGGCGCGTAGTCCATCGCCACCTGCTCCAGGGTGAATGGAAGCTGGCGCGCCCGCACGGCCTCGTAGAGGTCCATGCAAAGCGATGAGTTCCCAGTGCCCAGGTGTAGCACCCGCAGCACTGGGCTGCCAGCGTGGGCCTCAGCAGGTACTGCGGCACCCTGAGCCTCACGCAGCCCAAATGTCTTCGCGAGCTCGTCACAGAGTGCCAATACCACTGACTGATGAACGGACGGGAACCAGTTGTAGTGCGCCTCCTTGCTATAGCGCCGCTCCCAGTAGCTTTGGCGGCTGTACTCCGCAACGTCGTCGGGCTCCATCGGCGCAGCCCCACCTGTACAATCTTGGCAGCGGCAGCAGCAAAGCGAGACAGGGGAAACAAAAAAAAAAAGAAAGAAAGAGCCACATAAGGCAGTGATGGAGGGATCAGCATCACGGCAGGCAGCGGAACAAAAAAAAAAAAAGGCCGGCAAAACCAGCCACCACAGCGGCGCGACACCGGCAAAGGTGTCACCCACGTAAAAGTTCAACTCCCAAGAAAAGAAGCTCCAGGATAAAAAAAAATTTTGAAAACTGTGAAGTGACAAGGGCAAAATTACCCATGGGAAACAACCTCATTGATGGTCAGCCGTTGTCGATGTCGCAGCAGCGTCAACAGCGTCCAATAAGAACACCGACAGCGCACGTTCCCCTGTGCGCTGACGGCGGAGGTTCGGAAGCGGTTCAAACCCTTCGGCCCTTCGTATGCGCGAGGGGAGGCACCAATGAAAAATCCGTGCCCCACAGTAGCAACGGACGTACAACGGGGGAAAGGAACAAACACGCAAGCAAAAATTAGTGAGGCAACAGCCGTAAAAAGGGCGGAGAAGTCATCACAACATCCTCCACCCTCAACTTGTGAAAATAAAACCAAAAAAATAAAAGGCGCCGAGAAACGTCCTTCAGATGTCATTTAAAGTGTTTCCTCGTCGCGAGGAAACACAACAAACACAAACACATCCAAGGCGATAAGGCACCGCACAGCACCCTTTTTCTCCATGTACGGAGGGGAATGCGTGGAAGAAACAAATAAACAAAATGACAAAAAAAGATCTCACCCTGTTGGTCCCAAAGAGAATGATGTAAAACAAAACCATGAGAGGGAGGAAGTGGCATTAGAACAAAGAAAGCCGCAGACGCGGGAAAGTTGAGGCCTGTGACAACTCATTTTTATTCCCTCAACTTTTCCCATTCGGCCTCCTTGTTGGAGCGCTGGGTGGACAGACTTACTCTTGGCGCAAAAAGTGCCCTATAATGGGCGGGATTCTGCCCCACATCCTACTTTCCTCAAGTATCAGGATGTATTCTCCAAGCAGCACATCAAACCTCAGCACTAGCGCGCCATTCATCTCGTCTGGGGGACTGCCCGTGGCCGGCTCCAAGGGGGGAGCCACAGCGTTGAGCAACACGCGGAGGACACAGGAGCGGATGTAACGTTGCAGTAGGTTGTTGCCGAGTAGCTCAGTCCAGCGGCACCGCAGCCGAATATGAAAACCAAGCTGCTGGCACGGCCGCCGCAGGTCACGCAGACGCACCCTTCTGCCCTCCGCCGGCCGCAGCCACAGTCTGCACAAAATCGACTGCCAGAGCGCCAGGCTGCCGAGGCTGTAGTCCCCGACAGAGAAATTTTTGTCATCCGTTTCATCACTCGCTTCACCTGTCATCTCCTCTGCCATGTGACAAGCCGAATCATTAGCACTTTCATCGCCCATGAATCGGCGGAAGAGCAACGCGGCAAACTCTTCCATGATAATGGTGCGGCAGCTGTTCTCCAGATCCCCCCGGCACTTATCACGCACCAAGCGTCCCAGAATCACATCCGCCTCCCTCACACGTTGGATATCTTCTGTGCGTAGATAGCACCGCAGTACACCTGTCGCTAGCAGCCATTCCGTGTCGGGTTGTGACGCGCCATAGTCCTCCTCAAAAGATAGAATGCCTGCCCGTGCTGCCAAATACCTTTTCCACGAGCGGCCGTAGATACTGTTAACAATCGCATCATACTCTTCTGGAAAGTCCCGCTGTATCCGATCTTGAAGCCGCTTGGAACACACCGAGCCGCGGTGGGGCCACTGTTCCCCCCGCATTTCAGCAAACGTTCCTCGCACTGCCACCGCGAGTCGCACCATCATGTCTGCAGCTGCGGGGCTTAGACTGCCACTCTCGCTGGAGATCGCAGAAGAATCGGGGTCAGAACTGCTCACCACACCCCACATGATTTCCTTAGTGAATAGAAAGTAGATTGGGGGTACTGTCTACCGTCGCTTTTTTGACTGTGTGTGGGCTCAAAACAACATAAAACAGAGAGATAAAGGGAGGAAGGGGGGGGGGGGGGGGGGGGAGGGGGGAAGACGCAGGCGTGCGTGTGCGCACGGGGTGGGGGTGAGAAACTCAAACACATTAGGCCAGCGGTGGGGTCGTTTTCCGCGGTCTTCCTTTCGCTACTGCGCGGCAGTGATGATCGTTGGAGGCAAAATCAAAAACCAAAAACAAAAAAAAAACAAAAAAAAAAGGATGAGGCGGGGCGGAGGAGCGGGAGCAGCAATGAGGCAACGGAGATGCACCTCCCCCACACAACCGCCCAACGCACGCCGCACAGTCTCACGAAAAAGAAGAGGCCCGAGGACAAACAAAACAAACAAAGTAAAACAAAAAAAAACAACAACAACATCTCCCCCCTTAGAAAGGATCACGAAGAATAACACATCAGGGCTACATATATATATACGAACAAAAAGAAAAACAATATATATACAAAAGGACCCAAATGAGTTCCACCATCCTACGCATAAAAATCATGAAAAAGTAGAAAGGTATGTGAGGCAACATCAACAAAAACACACATTTTTATTCTTCCCCTCCCTAATCCACCGGCAGAAAAAAAAAAACAGTCCTAGTAACTACATGACAATTCCGCCCTGCACCTCCCCACACGCGCGGATCCCCAGACCCAGTAATACAAAAATAAATAAAACCTAAATGCACTTTTCCAAACTCCACGCACAGCTCCACAGCTCCACAGCGGCAGCAGCAACGCACTCTACTTCAGCACAGAACGGAAGATAGATGACTGGGGCGCAATAGCCAAAATTCCGGATTTCGCATCATCACCTGACGGGAGGAACTGCGCTACTACATCAGTTAGGAGAGTGCTTTAAGAGAAAGCGAAAAACCTTACCACCTCTTATAGGAATATCCTAGCAGTGAGACTCTGGGCACACAGAATTCCCACGCAACGCAGTCCTATCACTTCCGCGCAATTCCCGCCGAAATTGTCGTTCCTCATCAATGCGTCTCTGTCGCTCACGAATCATAATCATCTGCTCCTCTCGCTTTATTCGCAGACAGTTGATGGACGTGTTTCTCTTGTACTCCTTCTCCACTATGTTCCGCATGGACTGCTTTAGTTTTTTCAGCTGTTTTTGAATGAACTCCTGCTCCCGATGCTCCTCTTCAACCTCCACACGATGTCTGGCCTCGGCGATTCGCTGCTCACGCTCCTCGATCCTCTCAAGCATGGCCACTTCCTTCTCCGTGGGTGGACGATGCTCGCTGATGGCGCGGCTGTAGATCATCATGGCACCCACCGACGTGGAGCGACTCTCAGGCCTGTGCGCCGTGGACCTCGCGTGGACGGAAGGAGAGTTCCTCGAGAGGCTG